CCTACCAAAAGGGGGTTTAAAAAAAAAAAAAAAAAAAAATCAGGTAGATATTCCTTCTTGGAAGAGAATCACAGTTAGCAGATGTCCGAAAAAATCAAAAGATCATGTCTTAGTTTGTGAGGACCCATTACCCAGCAGCTACTACAGTGTATAACAGCATATTCCGGGTCCCTGCTACAACCCCTATGCTGCAGCAGGAACCCGGAGCTAGAACATTTTTTACTCTTTCTTGCTAGCTTTTTTTCCTTCCATTTTTTTTCTTCAATCCAGATTCCTAGTTCACTGCTGGATGAGCTGGTCACTACACACTATCTACATTAGCCCTCCCTCAGGTGAACTTGAACCTCCTAGGACACTAGTATAAAAAACTGAGGCATGCTGGGAATTGGAAGGATTATCTTGTGATTGCCTAAAGCTTTCCTGTTTGTCAGTGTCTAATCCTCCTGTAGGCACCAGTATAACCCAACAATGAATGACTTCTTGTTCCTCTCATATAGACAAGAAAGAAAAAGTTTGCCTTAACATACACTTTAGGTTTAGTGTTAAGTCTAAGCCCTCGTTCACACCTAGGCGTATTGCATATGCGCGTCTGTCGCGCCACCGTCGCGCGTTTTTTTTTACCGCGATTCGCGGTAAAAAAGTCGCGCGACCGTCGTGCGATTCCGAAGGCTACTTGGCTGTATCCCAATGGAAAACGCCCTACAAAACGGCCCAAAGTAGTACCTGTACCTTTTCAGGCGTGGGCCGTTTTGTAGCGCGTTAGGGACGGGCGGAAATACGCCAAGGTGGGAACGAGACCATTGAATACAATGGGATTTATATTTTTGACCGTTTTGTAGAGCGTTCGTGGATGATGATTCATGATTGTGGACATAGTAACTCATATTATATCCTCAATTTATGAATGGACAGAATAGAGGCTTCCTGTTCATTCATAACAGGGGCTGTAGAAAAAGATTGAGGACTCTGTGTCCTCCATCTCATTTTCTATTTCAAAAGAGAAATATCAGGGGTCTGTTTAGATCCCTGATTTTTTTTCCCATAGCCCCCCACAGCAAAGTAAAAAAAATTAAATAGATAGACAAAAAAATTAAAAACAGGTTAGGAAAAAAATATTTTTTGGTTTCAGCCTGACAAATTTTTTTTATTTTTATTTCGGTCTGAAAATTCCATTTCGGTGCACCTCAAATTGTAACCCAAGGATAAGATTCCTGCCGCAAGAATCCATAGGTTCTTGCCACAGGAATCCCCAGGTGCCCCGTGTGAATGTAGCCTAAAGCTGGCCATACACCTATAGATTATCTGCAGATTTTCTATGGCCAGATGGAAAAAGTGCAACAGATTCCTCCATCTACGCTAAACTGTGTGGATGGAGGAATCTCCCACTGGGCCAAGCTTCAGTATCTTGCTATCTTGCTAATTGGCTCTCAAAATACCTGCATCCAATCAGATTGTTCAGGTGTTTTGAGAGCCAGCGAGGCCGACTAGCAAGATACTGAATCTTGGTCCAGTGGGAGATTCCTCCATCCACACAGTTTAGCGTAGATCGAGGAATATGTTGCACTTTTTCCATCTGACCAGAGAAAATCTGCAGATAATCTAAATGTGTATGGCCAGCTTTACTGTCTCCATAGAAACAAACATGACACTTAAATGTAGAGCTATGAGTACCCCCAAATATGTTGGCTCCACAATAAAGTGATAGTCTAATTGGACAGATAGAGATGATAACTATATTTTAAAGACAGGCTAATACTGTGCATGTCCCATTTACAGTATATAGGATATGAGAGAAGGTGGAGACATCTATAAAACCTTGCAGACAAAAAGCCTAGAGGCAAGTAAGTCTGCTTGTTTTCACGCAGAGGAGACATTCTTCACACTGCAGATCATTAAAATGTGGGTCAAGGAGGAGAAAAAAAAAAAAAACCCAACACAACAACATACAGTATCTCACAGAAGTGAGTACACCCCTCACATTTTTGTAAATATTTTATAATATCATTTCATGTGATGACACAGAAGAAATGACACTTTGCTACAATGTAAAGTAGCGAGTGTACAGCTTGTATATCAGTGTACATTTGCTGTCCCCTCAAAATAACTCAACATACAGCCATTAATGTCTAAACCGCTGGCAACAAAAGTGAGTGCACCCCTAAAGTGAAAATGTCTAAATTGGGCCCAATTAGCCATTTTCCCTCCCCGGTGTCATGTGACTCGTTAGTGTTACAAGCAGGTGTGTTCAATTTGGTGTTATCGCTCTCACTCTCTCATACAGGTCACTGGAAGTTCAACATGGCACCTCATGGCACCTCATGGCAAAGAGCTCTCTGAGGATCTGAAAAAAAGAATTGTTGCTCTACATAAAGATGGCCTAGGCTATAAGAAGATTGCCAAGACCCTGAAACTGAGCTGCAGAACGGTGGCCAAGACAATACAGCGGTTTAACAGGACAGGTTCCACTCAGAACAGGCCTCGCCATGGTCGACCAAAGAAGTTGAGTGCACATGCTCAGCGTCATATCCAGAGGTTGTCTTTGGGAAATAGACATATGAGTGCAGCCAGCATTGCTGCAGAGGTTGAAGGGGTGAGGGGGTCAGCCTGTCAGTGCTCAGACCATACGCCGCACACTGCATCAAATTGGTCTGCATGGCTGTCGTCCCAGAAGGAAGCCTCTTCTAAAGATGATGCACAAGAAAGCCCGCAAACAGTTTGCTGAAGACAAGCAAACTAAGGACATGGATTACTGGAACCATGTCCTGTGGTCTGATAAGACCAAGATACATTTATTTGTTTCGGATGTGTCAACCGTATGTGGCGCAACCAGGTGAGGAGTACAAAGACAAGTGTATCTTGCCTACAGTCAAGCATGGTGGTGGGAGTGTCATGGCCTGGGGCTGCATGAGTGCTGCCGGCACTGGGGAGCTACAGTTCATTGAGGGAACCATGAATGCCAACATGTACTGTGACATACTGAAGCAGAGCATGATCCCCTCCCTTTGGAGACTGGGCCGCAGGGCAGTATTGCAACATGATAACGACCCCAAACACACCTCCAAGACGACCACTGCCTTGCTAAAGAGGCTGAGGGTAAAAGTGATGGACTGGCCAAGCATGTCTCCAGACCTAAACCCTATTAAGCATCCTCAAACGGAAGCAAGGTCTCTAACATCCACCAGCTCCGTGATGTCGTCATGGAGGAGTGGAAGAGGACTCCAGTGGCAACCTGTGAAGCTCTGGTGAACTCCATGCCCAAGAGGGTTAAGGCAGTGCTGGAACATAATGGTGGCCACACAAAATATTGACACTTTGGGTCCAATTTGGAAATTTTCACTTAGGAGTGTACTCACTTTTGTTGCCAGCGGTTTAGACATTAATGGCTGTGTGTGGAGTTATTTTAAGGGGACAGCAAATTTACACTGATATACAAGCTGTACACTCACTACTTTACATTGTAGCAAAGTGTCATTTCTTCTGTGTCGTCACATGAAATGATATAATAAAATATTTACAAAAATGTGAGGGGTGTACTCACTACTGTGAGATACTGTATGTTGCACATCTCTGCAATACATGCACATTCCCCCATGTTGTGTGCACCCAGCAAGTACAGACAACGTTTTCTTCAGAATAAAACAGTATGCACATTTTTTTAAATCGCACTGCACTGGAACACAGGGCATTGCAGTACTGCACGTTCCAGTGCGGGCAATCACACTGCGGACGGGACGCTTTAGTTTCGTGGATTTAAAATAATGTGAATTTTAAAACTAAGCCAAAACAGACCAAAACATTTTTTTCTATTTCTAAATTTTACTTTAACTGTATCATTTTTCTTTATTTGTTTGCATTTTTAATTTGTATTTATTTTTAAACTTTTTTTGTTTACTTTATTGCTGGGAGCAATTGCCAGCCTGTTATTGGATATTTCCAATTGCAATAGCCAATAGCAGGCTGGCTATTGCACCCGCTATAGGAGGGACCTGAAGGAGAAAGTTCTCCATCAGGTCCTCCTCTGCTGAATAACAGCAGGCAGCTGGCGGGTGCAATACCCAGCCTAATTGGCTATTGCATTTTAAAATATCCAATAGCAGGCTGGGTATGGCTCCCAGCCTCTAGATGCCGAAGAGGAACGGGGGCCAGGCCAAGGGAGAGACACAAGGCGGCAGCAGAGGAACGGGCGGCACAGAAGCAACCTGGCAGCAGCAGAGGTACGAGGGGGACAGCGGGGGGAAGATTCTGCAGTCTCTTCTCCCCGCTAGTGCAGGCTGCAGTGGTCTGTGTCCCCGCTGCCTCTGCCAATAAAGGCGGGGAGTGAAAGGGACAGACTGCTGCAGCCAGCACAAGCGGGAAGGAGAACGGAGGAGCAGAGATGCAGCAACTAATCGTAAAACAACTTCCAACGATTCTCATTATCGATTAGTTGTTGCAACCCTACTATAAACACATTTTGAGAAATTTTTAGGAAACCAAATCTGGAGAACTCAGCAAGTATGTTACCAAGGATCACTGAAAACCAAGATATCTAACCTCTATCATTTTTTTTTATTGGACAATATTATCGTTTATCTGACAACATTGACATGTTCACAATTATTACAGCCAGTCTGACTTTTCTGAATAGCTTGAAAGCAAAGAAGAGAGATGAGCAAAAAAGGAAAGAAAGATAAAAAAAAAGAAGAGGGATTTACAGTATACTCACATTAATTTACTTACATACAGTATAAGTATACACTTACATAAGTAGAGCCAGTGAAATACATTGGGAACTCAATGCTTGCTCATTAAAATGAACTGGCACTGCAAAGCAGAATGGAGTGAGGAGAAATGCGAAAAAAGTATACTGGCGAATACAGGAAGGGAAGGTCCGTTCTGTTTGTAGTCAAGATTTATGGCTTCTCTCCTCCCCCGTGAACACACAGAAGGGACCTTCCCTTCTTTGTATAAGAGGGAAAACGTCTGGGTACGTCTGGTGAGCGCATTATTAAACAAATAAGGAGCACGGACAGCTGACACTGAGATATATAACCAAAAGGAAAACAGATTAATAAAGTGGAAAAGGAGCAGACACTTGTAACAATAGCCAGTCTGCTATTGGATATTTTAAATTGCAATAGCCAATAATTTTTTTTAACCTCATTGCTATCACATAGGGGGGCTCACAAGCCCCCTCTGTGACATATGAGGCGACAGTTTCTTTTTAAGGTGACAGGGGTCTTTTAGACCTCTAGTGTCACCTTTCCACTTCACTGGATTCAGCTGCTGAGGCAGCTGAATGTAAATACAGCAGGCAGTGGCTGGGAGCAATAGCCAGCCTGTTATTGAATATTTTAAATTGCAATAGCCAATAGCAGGCTGGCTATTCCACCCGCCCACAGCCTGCTGTCAATCAACAGAGGAGGACCTGATGGAGAACTTTCTCCTTCAGTAGTGTCGATTAGTTGTTGCAGCCCTATAGATTTCTATATTGTGCTCATATCCCCTCCTAAAAGTACAGCTAAAATCAAAATCTTTTTTTAGTGTTGGATGCATTGGAGAGGGATAAGAACGCCAGTCAGGTTTTTATTGCTGTCTGCGTCCCAGTTAGGGAGAGTCACCCTCTCCTGTCCTGGTGACTGTTACCCCTGAAAGTGAAAGAAAGTCCCACATTTTGGGTTGTCATCAGAACAGGAATAGATGGGAAATCTTCCAATGGGGACACCAGTACCTGCTTACCACCAGGGAATTTCCTTTTACTTCCTGTTGTGGCTATCAGACAGGAAGTAGAGGGAAATCTCCCCAATGGGACACAGATTTCAAATTAATAAACCCTTCCCTTATTATGCTATACAGAGAAGAGTTTTGGCCTCAGATCTACTATAAGTGACGAATAAAAAAGACCAAACTGAAACAGAAGAAAACACAACTGACAAGCACTACAAGGCCTTTTATCATATCAAATACTTAGTGAGACAACATAAAAAGGAGGCAATGTGCCAAAGTCACCTCCGCCTTCAGGCTGAGATTTAACAGTATAGTGGTGGCCAAAACTGGCCCCCCACCAAATTCTGAGGGCCAATAATCTAGAGCCATGGTTCTCAATTGGTGGGTCGTGACCCAAAAGTGGGTTGCATCCACGTGTTCAGTAGGACGCAGCATGCGTTCCACTGCGCTATGTTAGAGGTTCCTCAGCCTCCCCCTAGCGCAGCATTGTCAGTTCTCACTCTAAGCAGCATTCAAAATATGCTGCCCCGCGCCGAGTGTCAGCTTGAGGTGAGGTGGGCTGGAGATATGGCCATGCAGGAGCTCCATCCCTACGTGCTTGGCTTACAGCTCCCTTGCTAGCCCTGTAGAGTTGCCTGGACCGGAGTGATGTCACATTCTCGTTCCCGGCACCTCTACAGGGCGCATAAGGAAGCAAGCAATGCCCATATGGATGGAGCTCCGTCACAGCACCGCAGCCCACACTGGACCCTAGGCTGAGGCTCCACTCCAGTTCTTGTAAGGTAGGGAGATTGGGTGGATCTTAAAACAAAGGAAAAAAAAATACTTTTTTTGCAGTGTGTATGAGAATGTCTGTGAGTGTGAGGGATTGTGTCTGTCTGTCAGTGTATTTGAGGGCCCGGTCACACTAGTAAAGTGTTAATCGCATGGGACTGTGCGATTAACACACTGTCCCATACCACTGCACCTATCACATGTTCTGGTGCGGGAGGTGCGTTGCCATTCATTCGAATGGCACCCCAAACGCATCTCCTGCCCACAGTTTGATCACCCGCACCTGAATGTGCGATACCGCAATGCCGTGCAACTTAGGTTGCGACTTAAAGTGACATTCACCCCTCTCTGTGCCCCCCCCCCCAATGCTGCTGTAAGGACTTACCTTAAGTGATGCCTCTTGATCCGATTAGCTTCTTCTTTCCAGTAGTTTTCATCAGTCTGCAGGTGCCGGTCTCTGATCCAGCGCTGACGCCTGTCTCTTCCTGTCCCATGGAGTCTGTCCAAGGTGCGCACTCACAGCTGCGTGCATTGAGTTTCACTGTAGCTCTCCTCGCCGGTGATATCCACTGCGCATGCGTCCACACACATCCTCCTGCACGGCCGCTCAAGAAGCTACAGTTCTACAGTCGGGAGTGAGCGGCGGAGACACAGTTACGTTTTTACATATTAGGTAACTTTTTAAAATGTTTTTGCATATATCTACTGCTTGCTACCAGTCGATATATGTAAAAAATGGAGGGTTTAGAAACCAAGGTACTTAAATGCAATTTTCAATCTTGAATTAGAGTGTCACTTTAAGCTTTGAAAATTAAACAGAAGCTGATTGGTTGCCATGGACAACTCCTCTTAGATTCTGCCTGCTCCAGTTTTTAGGAATTCCACCAACTGTGTCTTCCCTGTCCTGTACTACCTTGTCCTCCTTGGGACTACTGGCAGTGTGTAGAATACTGGTTCCCATTGCAGGCAGCATCCTGCAGTGAGAGCAGTCCACGTAAGTACTTCCCTCTTCTACAAGTGAAGAGATGATACACAATCCATGGCTGTATAATAAAGGAGCCCGGGGCTAGAGCAGCCAGACACCCAGAGTACTGGATAACTTTACTAGCAGAGACTCCGGCGTTGTCACCCTGCCCACAGACACTCACCCAGTTCTGCAGCTTGCCCGTCAGCTTCACCTTCTTGTTCCTGCCCTCCATGTTGTTCTCTGAGATCTCCATGCTCCCCGGAATGGCGATCGCTGCCCTAGTAGTACCCCACTCGGTGGAATGTGTGCAGGATGCAGGCGCTTGAATGGAGATGCCCGGGGAAACGGGGAGTGTCAGCACACAAGCCGCCCCCACAGCCGTGCCGGAGAGGAGGGCAGTGCGCATGCGCCGTGGATCGGAAGTGAAGTAAAGCTGAGCTCATACGGGTTACTTCCAGCTGGCAGCTGCAGGAAGTGATCGGCTGTGACTGGGGCTATGGGAAGCGATCGGCTGTAACTGAGGCTATAGGAAGCGATCGGCTGTGTCTGGAAATGGGAAGTGATCAGCTGTAACTGGAACAATGGGAAGTGATCAGCTGGGGCAATGGGAAGTGATCAGCTGTAACTGGGACAATGGGAAGTGATCAGCTGGGACTATGGGAAGTGATCGGCTGTAACTGGGGCCATAGGAAGTGATTGACTGGGGCCGTAGGAAGCGATCAGACTGTGGCCGTAGGAAGCGATCAGCTGTAACTGGGGCCGTAGGATGCGATTGGTTGTGTCTGGGGCCGTAGGAAGCGATCGACTGTGACTGTGGCCGTAGGAAGCGATCAGCTGTGACTGTGGCCGTAGGATGCGATTGGTTGTGTCTGGGGCCGTAGGAAGCGATCGGCTGTGACTGGGGCCATAGGAAGTGATTGTCTGGGCCGTAGGAAGCGATCGGCTGTGTCTTGGGCCGTAGGAAGCGATCGGCTGTGTCTGGGGCCGTAGGAAGCGATCGGCTGTGACTGGGAAGTGATCAGCTGGGGCTATTGGAAGTGATGAGCTTTACCTGGCGATTGGCTTGGACTGTGGGAATCGATCAGTAGTGACTGAGACTATAGGTGTATGGCCAGCTTTACAGTGCACCACAACACACAGTTACCATGTGGTGCACTACATTGGTAGTGCACCACAGTGTTTTTGGTTTTTTTTGTGTGTGTTTTGGTGCACTGACAGCCGACTCAAAGTGAATGGTCTGTTAGTTTAATGCATGTTAACGTGTGACACTATGCTTCTAGGTGCAACACACACGAATGACAAAGTGTGACCGAGCCCTAAAGTGTAACAGAAATCTAAAAGTGTAGATTTTTGGTAGAAGGGTCTTTATTTCTTCTGCCAAAAAAAACTATTTCCATTTCTGTTGGCATTTGTTTAGTTTTTTTATTGATTTGTGTGTACAATGCTACGGCTCATGCACTGTAGGGGGGTAATTTACTAAACTCCATAGTCTTTCAGTTTGTAAAGGAATTTTACCTCCACTAACAGGGTTATTCACAAAAGGGTGAAGAGTTTGCAGAAGTGAACAATCTAGGACAACATAGCTGAACTGGAAAGTGAGATGATCTGGATAATTTTTCCAGTTCAGTTATGTTGTCCTAGATTGTTCACTTCTGCAGACTGTTCACACTTTTGTGAATAACCCGCTTAGTGAATGAGGTGAAGCTCTGCTGACTTCCATCATCCAATCATGTGCAAAAAAATACTGTTTTGTTTTTTTTTAACTTGCACATGATTGGGTATTCCTTGCAAAGTGAATTATGACCACATTCACTCAGCTAAATGGAAACCTCCCTTGTAAAGTGAAAAGCCTATTTGCCTTTAGTAACTCTACCCCTGGCATCCTACATCTGGATGTGGAAGAAATCAGAACAAATATGCAGATACAAATATCTGCCTTCAGTAATGTTTATATTTGTTTTGAGTCTAAGATTAAAGTGTAATTTTTTTCCCTCCCCCAATGTTAATGTTAACACTTCCCTTAAATGATGTCTCTTAATCCGATCTTCTTTCCTGTCCTTTTCATCTGTTTCTCCAGTGCTGCTGCGGGTCTCCGATCCAACGCTGACTCCTCTGTGCTTGCTGGCACTTCCTGTCCCACGGTGTCTGCATGCGGGTGCACGCTGTCCATAGACTTACCTTGTGTCTCTCCTCGCGTCCCGGCCATAAATCTGAACTGCGCATGCGCCCACCCCAAGATCCTTTGCGGCCGCCCAAGAATTTTCAGATTTTCGGACGGGAGCGCACGGGGAAGACAGGTAAGTTTGAAAGGGGTTTAAAAAAAAAAAAAAAGTTTTTGCATATATCTACTGCTTGCTAGCAGTAGATATATGTGAAAAAAACGGAGGGTTTAACAACCCTTTAAGAGTCCGTTCACACCAGCAATCGGTGCTGAACGCACAGCTAGTGGTGTGCGCTGACAGGTACAATGCTGACGCGCTGATTCTGGTGTATTGCACTGTGTACTTTTTTTTTTGTTAGAACTTTATTGAGATGTTATGCGTGACATTTTCATAAGTTCTATCGGCATAGCACTATGTGCTGCAGTTGTACCATGTTGCATCACGCTGTGCTGAACAAAAAAAGTAATACACAATGTACTTTTTTTCAGTGTACAACATGGCGGTGTGAACTGAATCGATTGTAAACAAGGCAAATTGCCTTGTCTGTGTATTGGGGCTGCGCTGAAAAAAGTGGCCAGTGCAGCCCCAATGCATCGGGTGTGAACAGGCCTTATATGTTGTTGTCAATGGGTTGGCAAAACAGTCAGGCATCGGGTATATTCAGAAGAAAATAAGTAATGTCCTCTCGTAAGATAATTTTTTATGGTACCTGGGAATCTTAAAGTATATCTAAACCCATTTTCTTTGGGGATGGGGAATGGTGAAAATCCTTTTCAAGCTATTGACACATCATAAAGTGATACGGGATCACTTCAAAGTGAGAGTCTTCTCTAAGACAAATGCCATAGCAACAAGTGCCCCCATTGGAAGATTTCCCCCTCCCTTCTTGTTCTGGTGACAACTTCAAATTTAAGGTGACTCTTCAGGTGTTGTAAAGAAGTCACCCACACTCCAAGGTCCGATGTGCAGAACGCCTTTAATAAAGACTCATGGTGACACTAGTGAACAACGTTTCGGAACCGTTAGTGGTCCCTTCAACAGGCAAACACTGCCCCTAATGAAGGGACCACTAATGGTTTCAAAACATTCACTAGTGTCAGCCTGATTGTTTAGCGTCTTCAGTAAAGGACTTTGTAATGCGGACAACTTCTTTACAACATTTGGATTCACACACTGCCATCTGCAGGTCATAGCAGCACCCATTTTATTACATTGGGATCCCAGTCTGGAGTGAGGTGGAACATGGACTACTGTTGACTCTTCAGGGACACACACACAGCAATAAAACCAGACAGGGATTCTAACCCAAACACACTTCAAATCTAAAATGGCTTCAGACGCCCACTCACACCTTAACATTGCGTTACCTGAATGATACCGTGCAATTAACACAAGCTATTGCACAATGTACCTAGTGTGCACTTGTTGCATTGCCATTCATTTGAATGGAAGCCCAATGCTTCTTCCATCCGCAATACCATGCGTTGCGGTAAAATAAAGTAGTGCAGGCATGGTATTGTGCGATTAACACATTGCTATGGTGTGAATGGACCCTAAGGCTCCATTCACATATGGCATTTACGATTTCCACGTAGAAAACTGCGCGGCACGAAAACCTTTTACATATGCGCAGATTCCGCGCACTTGTGTCTATTACTATTGCCACAAATGTGCGGAGTCCGTCCACAAAAATCATACTTGGACTATTTTGCAGGACGTGTAGTTTCCTACCGCGCGGACACCACTATAGTCTGAACAATGCACATTGGAATGCATTGTTTTTTATGTTTAGCGTGTTTCCGCGTGTATGAAAACGCGTGGAAATACGCTAATGTGGGAATGGAGCCTTAGGATATGTTCACACCATGCCTGGAACAGATCTGTGCAGTGTGTTTTTACTGCAATTTTGCCACTTTCTGGTGTTTTTTTTTTTCTTTTGCTTGCAATGGGCTTTCAGGTGCATTCCAGTGCGTTCTGTGCGGTCCTGACACGTTCCAAACCAGAAAAAATAAGATATGCAGTATTTTTTCGGTCTGAAACAGAAGGCACTGCAAAGGTGTGAACTGTAGCCCAGAAATCAAACAGGGATAAGTTTTTGGTCCCGGGCGTTTTTGGTTCACACCGGGGCGGTTCGGCCTCGCAGTTTTGGACACGCGGATCCACCGACATGAACGATCCCATACATTGCTATGGGGACCGTTCATGCGCGCCTCAGCGCGATCCGAACTGCTCCCTGGCCCTTTTTTGCCGCGCTGATCAGTGTGGTTTCCATACAGCTTTCAATGCAATCGCGTTGATCAGCGCCGCTTTGGGCGTTTTTATTTGCGTTTCAGTGCTGAAACACAATTTACTCCCAAAACCTTCCTTTTGAGATCAGCGCAGAAAACGTGCTGATCCGCAGCCACCCTGGTGTGAATGGGCTCTAACTGTTCTGGTATGGATAGAATCTGGACATCATGTGAACAAGCCCTTAAAAGAAAGCTGGACTGAGAGAAATACATAGATTGCTAATTTTTTTTTTTTTATGCTATCTGCCTGTTTGTGGCCATCCCCCGACCTGGAATAAGCCAAACCTCCTGATTTGAATCCATGTTCCAGGTCAATTAAAATAATACTAGGCTATCAGTTTCATGATCAGATAACTAGCCTGTTCATAGAAGTTTGAAAAGGCAGCCAAGGTATTTCTCCCATTACATGTTTCCTTTAACCCTTTTGTTGCCCAGCACTGCTCACTAATTCACTTTAGAATTAAAAGATGGTACTGCTGTTTTTTTTTATCTCCCATGGTAGTTGCGTAAATGATTACACATTTTAAAAAAAATACATATAACAGATTAAACTATACTGAATAAATACATACCGGTAATGTTAAATTGTTATTTTTCACAAAATTGGTAATAAGCAACTTACACTAACATCCTTATTCAAATAACTGCAAGTTATATGTGGGGCACCTAGGCATCATCCTCCTTCTGTGTCTGTGTACACTTAAGCATCATCCTCCTTTTGTGTGTGTACGACACCTAGTTGTCATTCTCCCTCTGTGTGTGAAGGCACCTAGGCGTCATTCTCCTTCCGTGTGTGGGGACCTAGGTGTCATCCTCCTTGTGTGTGGGTTCGTGGCACCTAGGCGTCATCCTCTTCTGTGGGTGTGCAGCACCTAAGCGTCATCCGCCTTCTAAAGTGTGCGGCACCTAACCTTAATCCTCCTTCCGTGGGAGTTGGGTACCTAACCACCAGTTTCTTC